ACCATCAATCAGTCGACTTTGCTCTCGCTGTTGTAAGTGTTTATCATCTACGTTTATGATAGCAGAGCACCAGTTAGTTGAGCCGAACCTGTGCTGGGGTGTTTGGATCTCTTCAGCTATGCTAAGTTAACCAGGAGAGAGAAGCTGGCTCAGAATCAAACCTGTTCTCTAGTGAGCAGAGCTGGCAGCCTGCTAGCTAGCTAACGCTAACCAGTTACGCTCTCCTGGTTATCAGCGCTGTTTAATATTTAGAAATTGATGTTAGATTGAAGTTTTGATGTTCATTGAATGATGGGTTTAAAATCATGAACTGCTTTCATTTATTTGCCGTCTGTGTGAGCGAACTGAACTCATTTGATTGTTCTGAAGTTTGAAATAATGCAGCAACATGCTGTGGCACAATACTGACATAAACATAGAACCAATCAGCGAATAGCTACGTCGTTATGTCATCCCACCGAATAGTTCTGTGGCCCCAAGTACAGTTAGCTAACCGTTTACGTTTGGAAACGCCACTGGAACAGTTACCCTCCGTGCTCAAAACCGTTCGGCTCTGCAGTGAAAAAGAGACCTCCTATAACCTAAGAGTAGCTCAGCCAGTTTGCATTAAAGTCCCTGTAGTTAATAATAATAATAATAATAATAATAATAATAAACCTTAGTATGTAATAAGCCTGAGATTTTAAGGGGTTAAGAAATGATTGAGTTTTTACAGTAAAACTGTCATTTACAGTATAACATACAGAATGTTTGTATTTAAAATATTTCAATTCAAATTGCTGATATGTTTTTTATATAATTTAAGCAGTCGTCTCAATTCTGGCTTAACAGCTCCTCCTGACGCTGAGCCTCGTAGTCTAATAACGCACTGATTTAATGTCTAAATTCCCTTTTTTGCCTGTGAGAGCTGTTTTTAATATATGCTAGTTTTCACTCTAAATGAAAATAAAAACATAACTTACAGACAGTGATTAGTGTGGAGAGTAATGTTGTTGCTGTTTATTTATACTGCCGAATCCATCATGGCAGACAACTAAAATGAATGGATGTTTAAGGTTTTAATGGCAGATTAAGGCTTTAATCACAGATCTGTTAGACCATGTTTAAAATTTAATGGTGCAACAGAACTCGATTTAACATAAAACCTAGAGTAATAAATCATTGATCAGCTCTAAACTCTGTTTAATTTAGTCCTTGTTGGTGTGACCCAGCCTCAGTCTGTGTTTTGGCTGCTCTGATCTGTAGCTCAAACTGCTGTATGGTAAATGCAGTAGGTCTGAAACAGCCAAACATTTCTGCAGGGTGGTGAGTGATAGTTTGTGGTTTTACAATGTTAACTGAAAGTATTTAGACGGATGTGTAGTGTTGGTCATGTTTTCCAGAGGAAGTTGCCTAGATGAGTGTATAACTTAGAATGCATACACACTGACCGGCCACTGCATTAAATTTCTACACTCATTGTCCATTTTATCAGGTCCACTGACCATACAGGGGGAATTTGTAGTTCTACAGTTACAGACTGTAGTCCATCTGTTTCTCTGCATACTTTGTTAGCCCCTTTTTACCCTGTTCTTCAGTGGTCAGGACCCTCACAGGACCCCCTACAGAGCAGGTATTATTTGGGTGGTGGGTCATTCTCAGCACTGCAGTAACACTGATGTGGTGGTGTTGTGTTAGTGTGTGTTGTGCTGGTCTGAGTAGATCAGACACAGCAGTGCTGCTGGAGTTGTTAAACACCTCAGTGTCACTGCTGGACTGAGAATAGTCCACCAACCAAAAATATCCAGCCAACAGCATCCTGTGACCACTGATGAGGGACTAGAGGATAACCAACACAAACTGTGCAGCAGCAGATGAGCTATCGTCTCTGACTTTACATATACAAGGTGGACCGACAAGGTAGGAGTGTCTAATAGAGTGGACAGTGAGTGGACACAGTGTTTAAAACTCCAGCGGCACTGCTGTGTTTTTTATTTAATAGTTTCTCTCAGTGTCTTAGTTTAGTTGTCCTGTTCAGCTTTTCTGTTTGTTTCTGGTTTTCTGTGTCCACCTCTTCATCATGGACTACAGTAAAACACACAGCTTCGTCCCCAACACGATACACAAAACAAGCTAGTTCTCTGTTTCTACTGTGATCAGGTCAGGGGGAACCATGAGCTGCAGATGTGGAGTTCTGTCACTGATCATTCTGCTGTTTATTCCAGGTAGGGTTGTTCTGCTTTTCCTGAACTGCTGTGTGATTTTGCTGAGTCCAGTGTATCTAATGTTTAACAAAGATAATAATTTTTGAAGGAAAGCATGGCCTGACTTGGGAGACAGACTGGGTGGATAAAGAGAGCAAGAACGTCTAAATCAGAATTTAAAAATTGCTGTAGTTTAGTTGTATGTGTGTAAAATTGACAATATTCTTAGTAACACATACGCTATGTGACCTTTGTAACGTCTTAAATTCCTTCTTTATAATGTCACACACATAAACATACTCAATTATGAGCAGCTTTAATGGTTTATGTTATGCATTGTAAAGAATAATGCATGATGTATAAAATTATCAAAGCATATTTACAATGTAGTACATGTGCAAAATTTATAGAAAGTGTTTCCAAAGTTTTTCTTACTTTTACATGATAATATGGTGCCACACAACACCAATACAATCACGTCACTAAAGCTGAAGCTGTCCAACATTTTAATTCTAATGAATTTTATGTTACATTTTACTTGATAAATAATTGATAAATAATTATTAGACCAAGGTGCATTAAAATGCTAAAACAGGGATCTGCTCAATCTGGCAACAGGTTGCTGTCTTTTCTTAAACAGCAGTGAGGGCCCTGTGTCAGGGGGTCATTTAATGGGACAATGCCTCACCAGCAAATCATCATGCCGCACTATTTTTTACATGTTTTTGTAGCGGCAGACAGCAAAAAACAATCCAAGTGAAACTGATCTTTGTGCTGCCTCTGCTTTCCTCAACGCACCTGATATTAAAGGCTACATTGATTAACAGAGCAGAGTTTGAATGCATTTATTGGCTGCTCTGTATGACAATTCACAATCTCAACTCATCCCTAATTTAAGACAAGGCCTGAGGCAGGTGATTTGCCAGTATGATTTAAAATATTAATGAATACAAGATCAGACGTGGGTAGTAACTAAGGACAGTTACAACTTTATGTTTATAAATGATTTACAGTTACATTAAAAAGAGAAGAATAGAGCCTAACAAAGTTCAGATGCTAATACTGGACGTACTAAGTGCTACTGCAGTTTTACAGTCAGTACTTAGAATAATGATTATAATTATTATGCAGAGTGATATATAAGTGTCATAATTGCAGTGAAATGTGATTTTACACATGTTGTAATCTATCAATGGCCAATGTGTCAGGTTTACCAGGTCTTTTGACTGTACAGACCCATTTGTATGTAGCAGAGACAGAAGAGCTTCAAGTTACTGAGAGTAGAAATAATCAGAATTAGAGTCAGTTCTACAGTGTAAGTCTGTGAGGAGTTCAGATTGGTGAGATCTGTGCACTGTTTCAGTTTCAGGTTCTCTGGGTCAGAGAGTGACCGTGTACTGCAGTCCTCAGACTGTCTGCGCTCTGAGAGAATCAGCAGTGAACCTGATCTGCTCTTATTTAACCACCACCAAACCTCAGCAAAGCTTCTGGTTCAGCCCCAAACTAAAGGCTAAATGGAGGAATGAGGAAGATCCAGAGGATTTAGCTTTAGACTCAGACTACGCAGGACGAGTGAGATACACTGATAATGGGTTCGGCTCTACTCTCACAATAACAGACCTGAGAGAGAGAGACTCAGGAGAATATCAGCTCATGATCATCACAGGAGGAGGAGAGAGATCTCTCAGCTCAGCAGTCAGACTAACAGTTTCAGGTAATTAACTATTTTTGTGATGTTGAATTATTTGTACAGGGGATTTGCTAGAATATTAATTTGAAATTCCGGTGCTAAAACATCATACAGTATATTCTGACATATTGCATATAGAGTCAGATGCAAAAATTTGCCTCAGTTCAAATGACATGTTTTGTTGAAAATATGTTAACACATCCTCTACAGAGAATATTTTAATTTATGTTAAACTCTTCAAAGAAATAGAAATTGTGCACTAAGATTTGCAGAAATATCATATTTGAGTGCAGGATAACTAGGCTCAAAGTGACCTACATCACTGAATGTATGTATTACACCAACTGTTAATTTCTCCTTTTGATTTTTATTTACTCATTCTACAAAATTATTGCTATTTTTTACCTACCAACAACACTGCAACCATGAAAATGGTTGTGAAAGTGAAAAAAGTGAAAAAAGATGCAAGAAAGATGCAAATCTTTGCTTTGCAGCTCATTGGATAATTAAATTGAGGCATAAGATTTTCTCACCCATTTCACTCTTGAGGGAGTTCAAAATGAAAGGGTTAAGGTGGAGCATTTGCATAAAATCATACTTTATAAATGCTTAAACATTTTTAATATAAATGAATGCATTTATTTCCAGAACACAGAACAGCACTAAACATTTCAAACATTTGTAAGAGCTTTTAAACTTTAAAGAAAATGTGCATTAACTTTTGCACAGGACACATGTTTATGTTTTATTTTCCCCCAGTATGTTACATTTACCAAATAAACAGTAACTGTGCATTAAAATATGCAGTCCTGATTTCTTTTTTATTTCAAGCCTTCCAACATTAGTGTCCTCTGACTGAACAGACCAAATTTGCACCCCAAACACCAAAACTGGACATCTGAGATGTGAAATGTACTGATGAGAGTTTAAATTTGTAACTGGTTTTACTTGGAGAGGCAGAAAGTGAAACTAACTTCTGAGACTGAACTCTCAGCTTTACAAGAAGCGTGGAAAAATATTCTATCAAATTTCTTTGAAAAACTGAAAAAAGAATGGAAGCTGTAATAAAGGTAAAGAGTGGACACACTAAATACTGGAAAAAATATATATTAGATTTGGTCATTGAGGCTTCTGTGTAATGTTTTGTTAAACAGATGTTTTCTGCTTTTTTTCTGATGCTGAAAAAGGAATCATTTGTACTTGGAGGGTGTTTTTACTGGAAATTAAATAAATGAAGAGTGGTCTCTGACTTTTATATAGAGCTGTACATATTTGTTCTTCTGTATCTATAACATTATTTCTGCTCAGACCTGCAGGTGACGGTACGTCTTCTCCCTGTAAATCAGAGAGAACTGACCTGTATCACGTCCTGCAATTTGACTTCTGAATCTTATTACCACTGGTCTAAAAATGGAGGAAGAATCAACAGGAAAACCAACCAGAGCACTTTGGTTTCATCCAGCGATCCTGGCAGCTACTCCTGCTCTGTCATCACAGTCAGCCATGAAACCTATTCCAGTGCAGTGTGTGAGTATCAGAGCTGTTTATAACTTTATGTTTATGATCTGATTCAAATGAAAAAGTAATGTTTTACTTTTACAGGTGTTTTTGATGAGAACTGTTGGAATGTGAGGTATTCAGACAGAAGACTGTGTGCTGTGGAGGGATCATCAGTGGACTTTCTCTGCACTTATTCACATCCCAGTCATCTCACAGTTAATGAAACATTCTGGCATTACGAGTCTAAAGTGGAGCCGAAGGATCTGGGTCTGGATGACCGGTTTGCTGGTCGAGTTCAGTTTCTTGGGGATAAAGAAGGAAACTGCAATCTGAGAATGAGAGACGTGAGAAAGAACGACTCTGGAGAATATCACTTTAGATTTGTTACTAACACTACAGGAGGGCGATTCTCTGGTAGACCTGGAGTCATTCTGAATGTTCCAGGTAACTGTCCTCACCTGTGTCCAAGTTTGATTTTTTCTGGATCTGCTGTACACTGTGGGCTTAGAATTTTAACGTTTTATATGAATTAATTGCAGTTTTGAGAGACTGAAGATAGAATTAAGATTCATATCTTAAAGTCACTGAACATTAAAATCCTACAATATTTGGAAAAATCTTTTTCTGGGATGGAACAAACATAGATGGAATCTTTCAACTCTAAGAACCCTTAATGCAAATGCACACCAGATACAACACATTAGCGTCACATAAGCTTAGCATAAGTAAAGCCAAATACAGGGCGTCCAGTCCACACTGCCTCCAACTCAGCTCCACCACGTCACAGCTTCAGGCAGGAATATCAGCTTTTTTTCTCCTTTTTCTCTAATTAAACAGTATCGGAGAGGAATGCAGCCCCCACAGCTCTGCAACTACCAGACCACCAGAATCAACAAATTTTTAGCAGATTAAGATTTTAAATAGAGTTTTGAACACTACTGAAAGTGTGACTGATATTAAATGCAAGTGAAAAAAATAAATGTGAAACAATTAAGCAGGACAGTAGGTTTTGTGAATGTTAGATGTGCATTTCCAGCTTGTGAAACTGTGTTGCAACTTCTGTAGCTCTGACTTTGTCATGCCTACTGACCTACTGACAAGCACATTCTGTTTATTTTAGTTTATTATTTATTTATTTTTTTAGTGGAGCTGACAGATCCTGTTTCTCTGTTTCAGCTCTCCATTCAGAAAGGCTGTAGTCTGTTCTGCTCGTCTCAGTAAAAAAAAAAAATTGTCAGAGTTCCTTTTAGAAGCACTTTTCTCCTCCTCAGTGCAGCTCTACCTCTTGTCCACACTGTATGGGTTTGTTTGAAGAGGCACATAAGGGAAAATCTGTCACATGACACTAAAATAAAATATTACCAGCAAAGTATGTGACCATAGCCTATATCAACAAACTTTTTTGAAGCGTTAAAACATTTTTCATTTTAAAAAATCATTTGGATGGAAACTTTTCTAACGATTAAAATAGAAGCGTGTCTGTTTCATCAGATGTAACACTAAAAACACTTGGGACATGTTTTTGATGATTGTGTTTAGAATTAAGATTCCATCTGCTAACAAACCCAAACTGCAATAGAATCTCACCACACTGTTTCAGATAGAAACTCTCTTCTCATAAACACTTAAAATGTTTGAAACGTAGATATATATAAGGGGCTGATTTAGAATACTACAGGGTAACACACTGTATCATGTACATTTAATTTATAAGTATTTGCAAATATTTCCTGAGTCAAATCCAGAGAACTGAAAAAAAAAAAATTCAAATGAGAATTATCAAGAAATTAGCACTTCAAACAGAGGTTTCATCCTGTATTTCATAATGTATATAAATACAGTACATTAATCATTGAGAATAGGAATAACAAAAAAAATAAGTATGCTCAAAAAGAAACAAGAAATAATAAACCTAATCAAACAATTAGCATCAATTGTTTATATGTGCATAACTCAATAACTCAATAAAAATTCTAAGCCCACAATATGTCAGAATTTGAAAAATATGAAAAATATTTTTCTTTGCTCAGACCTTCAGGTGAGAGCAAGTCCCAGCAGTCCATCAGAAGGTCAGACACTAACACTGACCTGTAGCTCTGCCTGCATTCTGCCCAACAGCCCCACTTACATCTGGTACAGGAACGGAGAGCCTGTAACCAACAAACCCACCAAATACAACAAACTCTACTTGGAGTCAGCGAGCAGTGAGGATATACGCCAGTATTCTTGTGCTTTAGGAAGCAGAGGTAGGTCTACATGTTCTCAGAGTTGGGTAGAATTCTATGAAATATTATACTTTTACATAAATATACTGTAGTGATGACTGAATACTGTCCTTAATGTATTTATTAACTCATTCCAGTACAACACATATAAAAGTAGCAGAATCAGAATATATTAAGAACACATCTAGAGTCCATTGTGATCAGGTGCATGGGAAAATTTAAATATTTAAATATTTAATTTATTTAAATTTTATTTAATTCACACTGTTCTTTTTTCATGTAATTTTTATGTAAACTGTTAATATGTAAAATATCTGCTTATCAGTTGAGAAGCTCAGAAGTTCTCAACTTGTTTTTTTCCTCTCATTACCTGCTTATGCTAGCTAAGCTAATGCTAATCAGCTCCTCTCTCCTAGTTAGCAGCACTGTTTACCACTGATCAATTGTTGGATGGATGAAAATGTGTTGAATGATTAAAATTGTGTACTCTGTTCACTTATTTAGTGACCATGTAAGCAAACTGTTCTTTTTGATTTTTTGATCTTGAAATAACGCAGGGTGAGACGTCCAAAAATCACAATTGCTTTGTCACTTAATACTTACGTCACTTACACCATTCTTGGTTGAGTGCTTTGTTGTCCACTCAGAAAATGTATCCTAACTAGTACAAATAGGTTAGAGTTCAAACTACCCCTGAGCTCAGACACTGCCAGACACAAAAGCCGTTGTGGATACCTAAAAAGAAAGATACAAAGTTAAACGTAGTGCAAGTGGAATACAATGAATTTCAATAAACACTTAGTTTAGTGCTCACTTAGCGGCTTCACAAAGAGATGGGTCTTTAGTTTGTAGACTGCAAGATATATATATATGTATAGAGAGAGAGAGAGAGAGAGAAAGAGAGAGAGAGAGAGAGAGAGAGAGAGCAATAATAATTCATGTTTACTAGCTCTTTCTTATTCCCAATTTCAATGCATGCTAGTTCTGAAGAGCAGCAACATTCCACTAATATTTAAGTATTGCAAGAAAACCTTGTTTTGCATTTCAAGAATGCAGGTCATTACAAAGAATAAAGTGTTGTTTTAAAACATATTTAGTTTTGTTTTTAGCTGGGTTTCTGATATACATACTCTCATAGATACTGTATACACATAAATGCATTTATTCACAATAGATGTATTTGCATGCATTGTGTGTCTATATGTGTGCATGTGTGCCAAGCATGTATTCGGTGTTTTGCTCTCTGACATTTGTTGTTCTTGGCAATCCATAAAATGGTAGTGCAAAAATATGTCATTTAAACAAAGCAGTTTAATGTTTTAGATGGTCAGTTTTTACTGTGACAGTTCTGAAAAAGCAAAATCACACTAAGCAAATCCATAATCATAAGGAACGAGGCAAACAGGGCCAGAATACTGAAAGATGAAAAACTAGAATTACTATACTTTAAGCAAAACTTTGCAAAATAACACAGGTTACAATAGGACAGGTGTGGGTGATCATTACTGATGGAGGGTCACTGACAATTATTCAATAATGTATTTCACTCACAATGTAAAGCAAGAAACATTTGCTCATCCTCAGCTTTTCACCTGCTGTAACTGAATGGGTTTGTTTCTGAAGGTCCAGAACACAGTGAAGTGCTGAAGCTCGTCGCTGTGACAGCGAACGTCTCTCTGACCGTCACTCTGACCGTCTCTCTGACTGTGATACTCATCACTGGATCAGTGTTGATGTGGTTTGTGATCAGGAGGAGGAGAGCAGCAGAGCGAGACACTGATGTCCAGGTACTGAAATGTTTTACTGTCTACGTTTATGAATATAAACATAACATTAGGCTTCTGAATAAAGACTGAAACTGTGTTCTCCTGATCTCTATCTGAAAGACTGAAGACGATACATACACAGCTCTGAACCCAGTTACCATGTCCTCAGATTACGACACTCTGACAGTAAGTCCAGTGTTTGTGTGTGTGTGTGTGTACCTATTACTATGCAGAGTGTTCAGATCCATGTTTTTTCCCTGTAGAATGTTACAGGTGCTACCAGTGACACATACTCAACCCTCAACCCTGCAACCATGGCGTCTGATTACGACACTCTGACAGTAAGTCTACAGTGTTTTGTGTGGTGTGTGTGTGTGTGTGTGTACCTATTACTATGCAGAGTGTTCAGATCCATGTTTTTTCCCTGTAGAATGTTACAGGTGCTACCAGTGACACATACTCAACCCTCAACCCTGCAACCATGACGTCTGATTATGACACTCTGACAGTAAGTCTACAGTGTTTTGTGTGGTGTGTGTGTGTGTGTGTAATTATTACTATGCAGAGTGTTCAGATCCATGTTTTTTTTCCTGTAGAATGTTACAGGCGCTGCCAGTGACACATACTCAACCCTCAACCCTGCAACCATGACGTCTGATTATGACACTCTGACAGTAAGTCTACAGTGTTTTGTGTGGTGTGTGTGTGTGTGTGTGTGTGTGTGTAATTATTACTATGCAGAGTGTTCAGATCCATGTTTTTTTTCCTGTAGAATGTTACAGGCGCTGCCAGTGACACATACTCAACCCTCAACCCTGCAACCATGGCGTCTGATTATGACACTCTGACAGTAAGTCTGCAGCACTCTTAAATTATGGGGGTGTTTGTTCGGGGTGTTTATTTTGCTAATTTTTGAACTCTGAGTTGACTTTAAAACCTTTTCACAAGGCTTGATTTCACAATGTACAGTTTTTATTCATGAATACAATTTTTTTAAAGGTACACAAAAATAGTAATGACATTTTTCACACTGAGTCTGAAACTAAGTGACTGAAAGGCTGCATACAGTTTTAAATGGTGCCAGTTGTATTTTCTGTTCTGCAGAATGCGCTAATAAAAAGGCAAACAGTGCCTGATACACTTTTAAGATTGTGTTAAATATACAATTAAATCTTGAAAACATTAACTTTATTCTTGATTTGGCAGTTCTGAGTTTGGGTTGGCAGTTTTTGCAATAGGTTTAATAAATCAAATGTTTATAGCCTATTAATTGCTTATTGTTAACAACAAAATTACTAAAGCTTACTGTGAAGTAAGAAGGAAGAACTAATGGCAGCTAGAAAGTTTTTAAGGCTTTTTTTTTTGCAATAAAGCACCACTACCTTACATAATGAATGTTTGCTTATACATAGTGAGCAATCTTTAGCTCTCTAAGTTTTTTATGTTCTTTTATTTTTCAGTATTTTACCGGCTTTCGTAATGAGAGGCGTTGAATCCTGCGTTGTTATTATGAGACTCTCAGGGTAAGTGTGCACTGTGTATATTCATTATTCAGACTTTTGTTAACTTGTTAACTGGAGCGCTCATTAAATCAACACTCTTTTCCTTTCAGTATTGACAGAAAACCTCAGCAGAGACTACATCAAGTCTGCATTAGTATTTATTAAGAAGATCATTACAGATATTCTGGGTACTTTGTATTGCTTTGGATTCCACTGTGTGCACATTATATAAGCCACCCTTGATAAGAGTGTCTTCTAAATGAATACATTTAAATTTAGTATTGATACATGATAAAACCTTTTCAGATAAGATATATACTTGTGAACTATGAACTAGACAATGAGAAGTGTCAAGGAGAGGAAACGAGGAGAGAAGGCTTTGGTTAATCTCATCACAATTACTAATCTCACCATAAACACATCTCATAGCCTTGATTACTAAAATCTGCAGGCAGCCATTCAGGTTTCCATTAAATTCATTCATGCAGTTTTGTTTTAACTGAAATAAACTAAATTCCAACTGGAATGTTAATCAAACCATGAGGTGGAGTCAGAAAGACAAATTCAGTGTGCAGTATTCAGTATTCAGTTTGGCTTTGTTGAATGTAATGTGTTTCAGTTTTTTCTGTCCTTTTTAGTAAGAGTTTTGTTTTTCCTTCGTCTTTCTTGTTTCATAATGTCTCTGTATTATTATTATTATTATTATTTGTTATTGTTGTTTTCCAGTCTTAATTTCAGCTGCCATGTTTATAAGCAAAGAGCATAAGCTGTGCAACATTTGCCACTTCAGCATATTGTTACGTTTGGAACAAAACATTATCTTATTTTTGTAATTGTTTATTTTTTGATGTAATTTGAAAATACTAGCTGTCCTTTATGTTGTGTGAACATTTTATGACAAATGGACCTATAGAAATGCTACAAAATTACAAAATAGAAAATCTTTACATAAATTCAGACTATACGGCCAAAAGTACGTGGACACTCCTAATTACTGAGTTCAGGTATTTCAGGAACACTCATTGCTAACAAGTGTATAAATTAAAGCACATAGTCATGCAGTCTCCATAGACAAACACTGGCAATAGAGGGTCGTACAGATGAGCTCAGTGACTTTAAATATGACACTATTATAGGATGTCTTTTGCCTCAAGTCAGTTTGTGACATTTCTGTCCTGCTGGATCTGCCCGGGTCAACTGTAAGTGCTATTATTGAGAAATGGAACAGGAGAAACAACAGCTCAGCTATGAAGCGCTAGACCATGCAAGCTCACAGAGCAGGGCTGTTGAGTGTTGAAGCGAGTAGCACATAAACATCTCCTATCCTCTGTTGCATCCCTCACTACAGGGTTCAAAACTGAACTGCAACCACAAGCCAGGTCTTCTCGTTTAACATCAGTGTCTGACCTCATAAATGCTCTTTTGACTGAATGGACACAAATTCCCACAAACACACTCCAAAATCTTGAATCTTTAGGAGTGGAGACTGTTATAGTCGCAAAGAGTCATATTAATGGCCATAGTTTTGGAATGGGGTGTCCAACAGGTTCATATAGGTGTGATGGTCAGGTGTCCACATACTTTTGACCATATATTGTAGACTGAAAGTCCTTTTTTCCTTCTGCTGTATGTTGCCATTTTAAAGATACAAGGTTTTGGTCCAAAAACGCCAATACGCAGCTGTAAGTCTTAATGGTTTCTACTGTGGATTATGTCAGTCATCTCATTCTCATACACAATTCCTAAAGTACATATTTTTGTACATTATTTTTATTTGAGCTGTTGCATTATTTAAATTTGTTCTGACTATGTGAATGAATAGTAAATATGAATATTGCCTTCTATATTCCATTTAGCCTTTGACACATTATTCTGTTTCACTGCTACTTAATAAAAATGTTTTTTTATTCTGAACATCATATTTAATTGCATTCATGAAGCAATAAAGAAGAATGTATTTTCTGCTTTTCATACATTTTAAAGGTTTATATTGTTCTGTTTATTTTCCTTTTGTAATCTAAAGAACAGCCAGTAGTTCTATATTTTTGTAATTCTATAAAAAAAATGTAAACCAGCTAAAATAATTTTATACATTAGTGCCTATAGTGTATTTGTGCAACTGGAAGACAAGTTCTTTCTGATTCTCTGGGTGGATTTTTGGTTCATAAACTGATCAAACTAAATAACCTAACAGTATATTAAGAATACATAAGTGACAAAAGAAGTTGAAGCTGAAATACACAGTTAAACTTAAACAGGTGTCATGCGCTTATTTTGTCCTGAGAGCCTCAAATCATATTTTAAGCTGTTAATGTCATCTGAGTCTGATATTGTTAGCCATCAAATGGCTTTTCCACCTGAGTACACAGGAGATGAAGGATGGGAACAGTGAAGAAGGTGAACCAACAACCTCTTATTATCCCGGTTACTGCAGCCCAGCTCCTTTAGTCGTTATTATACAGGTAAGTTTGTATTATCCTGTGAGTTTTGGGCTTTTTGTACCATTTACAGAGACACACAAGTTAATGCTGTGATCAGATGCTTCCTGGAACAAAGGACTCAATTCCTTCTTACATCATCATGAACTAAAGCATTAGACAAATATGTGTCAGATTTTGTGTATCATAAGTAATATAAGTATTATATAACTATTATAATTCACTATCAGAGACCCACAGTGCGCTGAAGACTCTTATGTACAGACGAAAAACATTATATTTTTATCTTTTAATCTTATCAAACAAGAAGTGTCTCATCAGTCAACAGCTCTGAAGATGGAACAACTCAGTTAATAAGATGAGCGCTTTATTTTCTGTTTATAAACATTGTTTATAAACATAACTTAATGCTGTTAGAGTGAATTAGGGAGAACTGTGAGGTAAGATGATTTTTCAGCTTTTATTGACATAAACACTCCTCTTTTGTAAATATCTCTGTGCTACATTTCTAGCCAGGTTAGAGCTGTGTTTAGCCCGCTGACCCGGATGTTAGTTGCTAGATTATCACCATTTTTATTCACCAGTAAGATTTGTGAGAGCCGAAATCCCTAAATAACAATATAAGAATTAACTGATAATTTAACAGTGAAGACATCTCTCCACACCTTTATGCCCCACTGCAGTGTATGACCATAAGTAACTGAGTCTCCTCCTTTTGAGCCATTATAAACTCTCATAAGTCTCAGTTACACGTTTATTCTCACATTTCTGTGGTTTGTTGATACTGAGTGTTCAGTTTTGTTAGCTACATCTGAAAAGAAAGTCTGATAAGCTATGGTACCCGTGGTAACAATCATTACAGACTATAGGATCTAGTGGCATCACTACTGAGTCCAGCTGTTTAAGAAATGTAGCTGCTTCCAAAATCTTAATGAGATTATACAGCGTTAATGACAGAACTACTGAAGAACCTTCATTTTTAAGCTCTGTACCCTGTTGTGCACTTCATCCTACGTTCTAAGACACCTCCACTGCAAAACAACACAATGTTCACTATTAGTTTCACCTTTAAATTACAATTTAATATTTTATTAGTCATTTTATGCACCCTGTGAATCACACTCACGTGATTTATAATATGAGGAGTGTTTACATGTTTTTGAGTGCTGAACATAAAGCGTTTCTTTATGAGTTCATTAATTATTTTTTTAGTCAAGGAGGTTAGCAGTTAGTGTTAGATGTAGCCATGCAATAGCAAGGGAACAGCTAGCTAGGTTAGCTAAATAACAGATCTGTACGTGTAGTGACGTTAGCATGTTCCTTTACTGTCTGATTGAAATTTGCCTATAGAGAGCAAGAGGTAAAACGCAGCTCACTAACAGTCATCGACTATTACTTTTAAAATGTTCAATATCAATAGTGCTTTGGATATTATTATTAATTTTAGTTTACATTAACAGTCAAGCTAATGTTAGTTGTGGACAACTCTCACTAGCTAACTTTAGCTGGCATGACTTTCCTTTGAAATGAAACAACAACGTCCTAAAAAAACAAAACGAACGTTAGCCAGCTTCTTTATTTTCTAGAACCACTCAGATGTTCTTACACAGCAATGAGGAGAAAATATGACCAAATTTATAAATTACAAGTAATTTATTTACCACATTTTCTGCTTGATTCTACCTCACACTGACCTTTTTGAGAAAACATGGGCTCAAAATGGCAAACATCCATTAACATGGCTGGACAAGCTATATGTGACCTGGCACAGAATGACCCATATATAAACAGAACTTATTTTATCAAACTCTTAGGAATTCTTTATAGTAAGTGTGAGAGAGTTTGATACAGTGTTTGAGAGATCTTAGTCATGTTTTAGTAACAGTACTGAGAAACAGGAAAATGGGTCAATTATCATTTTGGTTTTTTTTCTTCTATTATTGTCATTGGAAAAATCAGGAAAAAAATTCCTCAAATGATAAAAAGCAGTTTTGGTGATATTATTAATATGTGCTTTTAAAAGCTAAATCATAGTCTGGAGTTACACCAAAATTCCTACCTTCATTTTTTTTATTTGTAGAGCCAGATTTCCAAGTCTTTCATTCACCTTTTTCCTCTTTGCTTCACTACCAATTATAATTATTTATAATTATTTTCTTCATTAAGCTTTAAAAAAATGTTGTTCATCCAGCTAACTATGCTGAACAGGCATATAGTGAGCTTATCTACTGAACTGACATTGTCTGGAGCCACAGATATATACAGCTGTATCAACTATGAAAATTGATGCCCTGCTTCCTAATAATCTGACCCAGTGGCAGTATATACAAAGAAAACGGAAGTGGACCTCGTACAGAACCTGGTGGTACACCAAAGAGAATATCATGCTTATCAGAGATATGTTCACTTATGTTTACAAAATATGGTCTCCTCGTTAAATATGTAGAGAACCAGTTTAACACAGTTCCAGAAAGAATTTAACTGCATGACAACTTTCTGAAGTTCTGTCTCAGTTATCTCTTTAAGACTACTCATAGTGTTTTGCTGTTGAAT